CCTAACACTGCTGATGTCTTCACCAAGGCACTTCCGCCTGGTGATCATCAGCGCTTTACTACTGTGTTAGGCCTTGTGCCGACTTTGCCTCACTTGCTTACTGCTTGACTCTGCCTGTACTGTGATCTATATATATACCTGCATGCTTGCACTTGCTAGGGTATGATCACTGTATTGTTTGTTCTCTTTATATAACTCTACATGTGAACTGGCCTTGTGGCCCTTGTGATCCACCCTGAGCTTGCTTTGTTTTTCTTGACTGGTCTTGTGACCACTTGTTCTCCCCCACTTTGCCTATGGGGGTGTGTCAGAACATTATAGCTTATACATTTGTGTAGGCTGTAGTGGGGTAGCCCATAAGGAGTACAACCCAATTAGGGTTAGTACTTGTACCCAAACTGTTTGCTAGTTCATTCATTCTCGTTCGTTACTTTGACACCGGGTTCTTGGAGTTTCAGCCGTAGGAATTCCTTGACCTCCCGATCCTCTGGTCATTCTTACGCGTGAGCGTGTGCCGGACGCCACCTTAGTTCGCCGAGATTTTCCGGGATGGCAGTGCGAAGGATTCCTGAGTCGCTCTCATACCATGTTGTGATCAGAAACTTGATCATGCCTAGGATCACCTCATGAAGGTTTGCACTGGGTGAATTGCAGGAGAAGTATTGACCTCATGTAAGAGTGAATATAAAATGACTGAGATGATTATAATAAGGGCATACATGGGTTTATATAGTACTACAAGAAGAAAACAAAACGACCTGGCTAGCCATGTACTCTAAGGGGTACATTCCCTTATTACGACTCCAAGCATTTACAAATCTGTTCCCACCAAAATCCTTCGTGCTGCTGATGCCCGATGCTTCTACTCCGAAGGTCCAGATGCTGCCAACCGTACGTGACCTTTCGCGTCATTTCTGACCTTTGGCCTTCGTACTCACTTTTGCACTCTTCACTTGCTACTGATAGGAATGCACAGCGTTTCTCAATTCACTACTTGTAACACGAGGTACAACCCATGGCAGGACTACTAACCTGGCCTCTAAGACAAAGGGGCACAAGGCGACGTACTAGCACCTCCACCCCCGCCACTCCTACGACCACTCCTGTGCTGTCTCTGCCCACCAGAGGCAGCAACGAGTGCGACCTCCCGCCATCGCAGCATAGCCACAGCAGCAGAGGTAGCATGGGTAGAGAGCTTCGGTGAAACACATTCCTCAAAGATAGGGGGGAACTACCCCACCAGGGGAGGAGGCTATGGCACGAAGGCGGGTCTCGATCTTGGTGAGACTATTCTCAAAGAGATCAATAGTGAGGCTTGTGGGGTGCATACAGAGGAAAGCGTCATGGGTAGGCGTGAGGCGGTCAAGGAGGCCCGGTTGAGAGGAGGTACAAGGTGAGATGCATGGGGGGCGGGTGCACAGCAAGGCCGTGAGTAGTACAAGCTGCACGGTAGCTAGCGTCAAGCGGGCGCAGGTGGGTAACGAGGTCAGGACAGTGGAGAACGCATGGAGATGAGGGAAGAGGAAAGGCAGAATGAGGCACCCTAGAGTAGCAGAGGAGGGGGTAGAGCAGCAAGCAATAAGAGCGTCAAAGCAATCCTTCGCCATCTTGATCTGGCGAAAGCACTCTCGGTCGGCCGGCAGCAGGAGGTGACTGATAGCAAGGCCTGCAGCAGCGTCACGCGACTCCCGCACGCAAGCTGGGCATTGCGGTGCGCCCTTTGTGCCCCTAAGCCCGCGTCAGCAGCAAGAGCAGTAGGATGTAGGGGGCCAGGTAGCTCACAAAAAACGTGGGTGTATAGGAGGACGTCATCCTGAAGCTGACTTTGTAGGTGGAGCTTGATGTCGAGCAACCACGAGGCAAAGTTGATTGCCTGCCCCTCCGTTTCGAGCCGCATGGCAAACTCAGTTGCCATGACAAGAGCAGGTGCACAGCTGCAACAGAAGGAGGAGACAGCCACAGGCGGAGAAGAAGGCATGTAGAGTTGTCTAATCTCTAACTCGTGGCTGCAGGTGCGGCAGACACACCGTAGGTGAGGCGGCGGGCGCGGGGAACAGCGGCGCAGGCGTAGAAAGAGCATGTGTGGTAGGCGGGGGTGCGGGCATGGCAGACACGCATGGCAACAGCTAGGCAGGCGCAGACATGCGGGCGCGGGCTGGCGTTGGCTGGCGCGAACTAGCCCTGGCACGCGCTGGCTGGCGCGGGCTGATGTGGGCTGGCGCGGGGGCGGCGCGATTGCGCGGGCTGGCGTGGGTAGGGTCGTGCAGCAGAAGGCATAGGTACAGGCACAAGCGCGGGCGCAGTAGGCACAGGCCATATAGTACAAGCGCGGCAGAGGATAGGCAATGCATCTGGTCAGACAAGCAAGGGGCCAGGCAAGTTGGTGAGCAAACTAGTCTAGCAACCAAGCACATCAGCAAGCAAGCTAGCGGACCTAGAAGGCGGGCTGACCCCCGGAAAGCCATTCTAGGGCTAAGCCAGTCAGCCATCAGCTTGTCAATCACCACAGATGCAGAGAAGCTAGGTTGCAGCTCCACCCTAGCCAAAGAGTATCACTCACCCCGGCTCCAACCCCTGTTCCAGCTCTCTCTCTCTCTCTCTCTCTCTCTCTCTCTCTCTCTCTCTCTCTCTCTCTCTCTCTCTCTCTCTCTCTCTCTCTCTCTCAAGCAGTCCTTCATTGATAGGTTCATAGAGGTACAGGCATGGCAAGATCAGGTGCAGAACAGACCTAGTCCTATGAGCAACCGGTTATGCTGGGCATGGCCAAGGCGGGCACATCGAGCAGCCAGAGGAAGGCCAGGCTAGCAAACCATCAGTACCAGCAGGTCAGGACCTTGAGGTCAAGGGAGGGAAGGCAAGGCACACCAGGCAAGGCAGGCAGACAAGGCAAGGCCAATCCAAGCAAGGCAAGCAAGGCAAGGTAATTAAGACAAGGCAAGACCGGCCATGCAGGTAGCTAACACTCGGCTAAACACCTATCCCGCTGCTATCCTGCTTACTGACTCATCACCCCGTCCATCTCATCCTCGAGGACCGGCCAGAGGTCCCCTAGGCTAGGTTCCCAGGGGTCCCTAGCCGTCTGTGAGAAGGCTGCCACGTCCCCTATGTTCGACTTGTTCAGGAATGACGTGGCCTGTGAGCACTGGAGCATGACACTGAAGCGCTGCCTGTAGTGAGCGGTGAGCCGTACAGTGGTGGTGGTGAGGTTCCTCTGGCGGAAACTCCTTTTCGCCGCCGAGGCTGCTAGCAGGCGGATAAACTGCTGTGTCTCCGTAGCTAGGGCACCGTACGTCTCCACTGCCAACCCAAAGAATCCCACGTAATTAGGCCGCCCCTCATAGTTCCGTAGCGAGTGCTACCATCTCTCTCTCTCTCTCTCTCTCTCTCTCTCTCTCTCTCTCTCTCTCTCTCTCTCTCTCTCTCTCTCTCTCTCTCTCTCTCTCTCTCTCTCTCTCTCTCAAGTGGTCCTTCGTTGATATTAAGCAGGGTACAGGCAAGGCATGTAAGAATCTGCAATTCTAGCATGTAGTCTAGGTGTCTAGCCGACTAGAAAACTAGTAGCACCAACCACAATGACAATAGCAATAACAACCTGGTGGCACTCATGCTAGTTTGCCAGAGCAGCCATGAGGCCCACCTAGTGCCTAGTGCCCTAGGACCACAGCCTGGAGTGGCCTCACACTCCAGCCCCCTCACTTCAGCCCCTCACCCGTCTAGGGCCGGCCCCCAGCGCTCGATGCTGTTAAAAGCGTTTTCTACTTCTAACTGGAGGGCGATGCGGGTCTCGTCCTCATGGAGTAGAGAGCGGATGGTGTGGATGATGCACTCCGCACCTCCTGGAACTGCAACGACAAACTGAACCGGTAAGAAAAAAGCTATAATCTTAGGTCCTAGAGTATGTAGCGCCGCTTTCGCCACTATGCGGAGCAGAGTTTCACTGATCGCTATAGGACGCACCCCACCATTCGGCTTCTCAAGTGCGATCAGATGGGAAGGCAGTAGCAGATCTCTCACTTGGGGAGCCTGGAAAGTGCTGAGCAGCCGATTTACCACCTTGGCGAAAAGCAGCAGCAGCTTTTCGTTAGCTAGGGCGGGGTCTCTGAGGTGCTCGAAACAGGTGCCAGAAGGCCCAGCCCCAACACCGTTAGGGCACTTCGCTAAGTTTTCGCGAAGCAAGTCCAGCGGAACAGCCAGTTCGAAGTATGTGATTCTGTAAACGAAGCCGGTATCTGACTTTCCGCGGCAGGTTGTTTCGCTTGCAGTACTTCAAGTGTAGCTGGAGTTGCTTCTGCGAGGGGACTCGTTCGTAACGCCACTACTGCTTTCAAAATGTTACCCTTTTTCACTATCCCCTCAGCTCTTGCACAAACCCCTTCCTCGTCTGCCTGGTGTCGTACTGGGGCTCCTGTGTCGGGGAAGACCCCTGCTTCCTCGAAAAGGTAAACCCAGTCACCTCGTTGGAATTTGTACAGCCGAGCTTCAATGCTGCCCAGCGACTCCCTATGGCAGGTTCGGGTGCTGGCCTCAAGGTGAGTCTCAGCAGGAACAACAGCACCGTCCATCCACCTGGGCAGCTAGGATTTTTATCCAGGCGGATGAGTGCTGCTAGCATGCACAGACAGTATCTGTCCAGGAGCTGTGGTGGCAGCCGGCGGACGAGAAATGGCTGATCGTCTCTCTGAAGGACGTCTATGTTCCAAACCCCACCATGTGCTAGATGGCGTCATCGCCAGCCAGGTCGGACGGTGAAGGCACATCAGTCTCCTCCGTGGCAGTTTCTCTTGGTTCCGCTGGGTTGCGTGGGATTCCCCCCGTTGTTTCCCTTGCTTGTGGTTCTGGGTTGTTCCTCCTGGGTGTATTCTCATCGTCCAGAGAGATCTCTTCCGAAGCCTCCTCCTCCCCAGCCATAAACTCTGGGTCAGCCCCGGTGTTGTCAGAAACCTCTTGTTCCTCACTCGTCTGTGGAAGCACTCTCTCAGGCCTGGCGTGACGTTCCCGCCATGTTCGAGTCCTCACAGGGATCTCAGATCTGGGTGTTTGGTTGCGCCCTCCCCTTTCGCCTCTCAGCCCCCCGCGCAAAATCCCGCATTGCCCCCGTCCAGCAGCGCCTGTCGTTTCCGCCGCGCCGTTGCCTCCACGGCCTGCTGGCATCCGCGGTGTGCGGCCACCCCATGGCGGTCTCGAGGTTATCGCTCCAAGCCTTGCCGAACGCCTGGTGCCTACAGCCGCCGCCACCCCGTTCCTGCTGGCCACTGCTGTTATCACTGCCGCTGCAAGCGCCCCACTGTTACCACTGTCCGGGTTCTCTGGCACTTGTGTTGCTCTCTCTCTCTCTCTCTCTCTCTCTCTCTCTCTCTCTCTCTCACACACACACACACACATACACACACACGCACGCACGCACACACACGCACACACGCGCACGCACACGCGCATGCACACGCACACGCGCACGCACACGCACACGCACACACGCACACACACACGCGCACACACACGCGCACGCACACACACACACACACGCACGCACGCACACACACACACACACACACACACACACACACACACACACACACACACACACACACACACACACACACACACACACACACACACACACACACACACACACACACACACACACACACACACACACACACACACACACACACACACACACACACACACACACACACACACACACACACACACACACACACACACACACACACACACACACACACACACACACACACACACACACACACACACATACACAGTCTATCTTTCGTTTACCCAGCTCCTTTATAATTTCCCTACTTCTTCTCGTAGTTTCCCCACCGACTACCATCCTGAACATTTGTAGGTATATTAATCGGTAATTATAACCTTAATTTGGCTTTTGCCATAATTATGTTACAGATCCATAGCAATATACTGGTTCCGAATGACTTCAACAGTGTGATTTGCTTTCTGCGCTGTCACTGCACTGCTGCACTCTATAAAGTCCTGAACGCTCATGCTGTTGCCTCCACCAAGCACGTCAAATACGGGGTGGTGCACATGCTGCTGCTGCTGGCGCTCCTGCTGCTTATGCTGCAGCAATGGACCAGCAATGCTGCTGCTGCCCCAATAACATCCCGCGAGGCCCAAAGTAGCGCTTGTTGGCAGTGAATCGACCTGCATCTGTGGCTCATCTTCCGGCCCCTGGTGTTTAGATTCCTGCTCTTTTGTTGCCCATGCAGTGTGTGCAACCTCATACTGCCTTGCTGAAAGCAATTTCTGCTTGGCTCCATTGCTGCATCTTGAGAAAAGCGGGCTGAGGGAACCCCAACTGCACACACGCGGAAGGGTGTGCGGAAGGGCGTGGGGAGAAGAGTGCGGAAGGGCTCGTGGAGAGGCGTGCGGGCCTTGTGGAGGGGTTTGGGGAGGGGTATGCTGAGGGGTATGCTGAGGGGTATGCTGAGCAGCGTGCTGGGGGGCGTGCTGAGGGGTGTGGTGGGGCGCGTGCTCAGATGCATGCAGAGGGGGGTGCAGAGGGGTATGTTGATCGGCATGTGAAGCGGGATGTGAAGGGGTATGTGAAGGGGCATATGAAGGGGGATGTGAAGGGGCATGTGAAGCAGCATGTGAGCAGGCATGTGAAGGGGAATATGAAGCAGCGTGTGAAGGGACGTGTGAAGGGGGATGTGAGGGGAAATGTGAAAGGGCATGTAAAGGAGCATACGAAGGGGCATGTGAAGGGGCAGGGGCATGTCTAGGGGGATGTGGAGGGGCATGTGAAGGGGCATGTGAAGCATCTTCCTCCTTGGTAGCACCCATCATTAGCCAGTTCTCCTGGGCCTTGGCAAGAATCTTTGTGAGCCGTGGGGAAAGCGTCCTGGCTTTAACAAGCTTGCTGGCAGTCGCTGCTGCTGCCGCCACTGCGGCCGCCGCTGCTGCCGCCTTCTCCAGCCGGGCCGCTTGCCGCTTGTGGCGGCGTGGGGGAGGCCCCCGCTCCTGGTGGTTGTGGTCGTGATGGTACACCGTGACCACTGTGAGCTCATGGCAGGAGGATGCTCCGCGGCGGACTGAGTCTGGGCAGGAGATCGAGTCTGAGTGGCAGACTGGGGTGCTGCTGGCGGTGTCAGCTGGTAGGTCATCAGCAGGTGCTGCCATGGTGTGCGGTGTTGCGCTGCTGTTGCCTAACCCATTGGCGTCGGCAGCAGGCTCATGAGTATCACCCGTGGTGCTGCTTGTAGTACGGCGTGCAGGGCCGAAGTCCATGGTTTTTATTGCAAGGCAGGCCTTTGGGCTATTGGACCAGGCGCACCTGTAGTAGCACCTGCATGCGGGGATGAAGGAAAGAGAAACATGTAAGATGGGAATGGAATGAGGGAATGAAGAGTCTCTGAGACTTCAGAGATCTTGGACCAGGCGCACCTGTGGTACTGAGATCTAGCACGGAATAAAGAGAGAAATGTGAGAGAGGGACTGAAAAGTAACTTAGACTTCAGCGATCGTGGGCCTCAGCACACCTGTTGTATGTGGGGTGGGGGTAAGGGGAGAGGGGGGAGGGGGGAAAGAGCTAAGGGAAACATGTGAGAGGGGAATGGATTGGGAGAAGGAGGGGGGAATGCATCAGGTGTCAGATTTATATGACATAGCTACTGTAGGCTATAGTGGGGTAGCACATATGGGGTACAGTTTTCCTAGGGTTTGCATTTTGTACCCAACTTTCCCTTAGTCATTTCATTCCTCGTTTCTTCTCATGGTATCGAGCAGGTTCCCTAGTGGGAACGATTCCTAGGGCCCACCACCACGAAATTTTTTTTTTCCTGCCCGGAGCGCGCTTCGCTCCGGCCCGAGTCGCGCCCTGTGTGCTCTCCCTACCGTCGCGCCCTCGCTAGGCCCCTCACGGCCCCGTCGCGTCGCCCTTAGCGGCCCTCTCCCGGCTCGTCGCGCCGCCCCTACGGCCCTTCGCGCCGCCCTTACGGCCCTTCGTGCCGCCCTTACGGCCCGTCGCGCCCGTCGCGCCGCCCTTACGGCCCCTCGTGCCGCCCCTTACGGCCCCTCGCGCCGTCCCTTACGACCCCTCGCGCGGCCCCTTACGCCCCTTACGGCCCCTCCCGCGGCCCCTCACGGCCCCCTACGGCTCGTCGCCGCCCTCCGCGGCCCCGCAACCTACCTGTGCGGCCCCGCCACCTACCTGTGCGGCCCCGCCCCCTACCTGCGGCCCCGCCACCTACCAGCGGCCCCGCCACCTACCCGCGGCCCCGCCACCTACCTGTGCGGCCCCACCACCTTCCTGCTGGCCCCGCCACCTACCTGCGGCCCCGCCACCTACCAGCGGCCCCGCCACCTACCTGCGGCCCCGCCACCTACTAGCGGCCCCGCCACCTACCTGCGGCCCCGCCACCTACCTTTGCGGCCCCGCCGCCTCCTCTCAGCGGCCCCGCCGCCTCCTCCCAGCGGCCCCGGACGCCGCCCTCTCAGCGGCCCCGCCGAGCCGCCCAGCAGCCGAGCCGCCCAGCCGCCGAGCCACCCAGCAGCCGAGCCGCCCAGAAGCCGAGCCGCCGAGCCGCCCAACAGCCGAGCCGCCGAGCCGCCCAGCAGCCGAGCCGCCGAGCCGCCCAGCAGCCGAGCCGCCGAGCCGCCCTGCAGCCGAACCACCCGAGCCGCCCTGTCCGGTAAGAGCAGCGCCTCTTTCACAGCACTGCCCTCACCCTACTGTTTGCGCTGCTAGTCTACTGCTGTCATGGCTACCCCTAGTGTCCTCGCTTTTGACGCTGAGGGTCGGGCCATTGACTTTGACGTCTGGATAGATGACCTGCAGCTTTTCTTACAGTGCGACAGAGCAGACGGCCTCTCCCTCTTTGACCTCACTTCTGGTGCCTCTCCTGCCCCCACTGCTGATGCTGACGCCACTGTTCGCTCACAGTGGGCCACGCGCGATGCTGCTGCACGTCTTGCTGTGCGTCGCCACCTGCCTACCTCTGAGCGTGCGCACTTTAGCCAGTACAAGAGTGCTCAGACCTTGTACGACGCTGTAGTTGCGCGCTACTCCTCCCCTGCCACTGCTGCACTGAGCCGCCTCATGCTACCGTACCTCTTCCCTGACCTTGCTGCCTTTCCCACAGTCGCTGACCTCATTACGCACCTCCGCACTAGTGACACTCGCTACCGCGCTGCGCTTCCTGCTGAGTTCTGCGCCAAGAACCCCCCCCCCCCATGTACATCACCCTCTACTACATAGTCACCCGGCTCCCTGACTCCCTTCGCGTAGTCAGGGACCACTTCCTCTCAGTTTGCCCCACCACTCTCACCGTTGACCTCCTCGAGAAGTCCCTCCTAGCAGCAGAGAAGAGCATAGTAGCTATAGGAGCCTCTCGTGGTGACCCTCGCACCCCCATCTTTGAGGGGTGTTCCCCCTCCCCCCTTTTGCCCTCTGTTGCCTCTGCTGCTGCGGCCGACCTCGTTGGGCTTGAGTCGGTCGGTGCGGCGTCTACCCCTAGCGGGAGACGCCGCCCTGGCAAGGGCAAAGGGGGCAGGGGCACTGGAGGAGCTAGCGGGGGCGGTGGAGGCGGCGGTGGAGGCAGTGGAGGGGGTGGGGGTGGCAGTGGGGGTGGTGGTGGGGGTGGAGGTGTCGGTGGCGGCGGTGGAGGCGGAGGCGGCGGCGGCGGTGGCGGTGGGAGCGGAGGTGGCGGCGGTGGAGGAGGCGGCGGCGGAGGAGGTGGAGCTGGTCGGGGTGGCGCTGCGCAGAGGGTCGGCTCCGGTGGTGGTCAGCGCCAGCAGCAGCAGCAGCGCACTCGTGACATCCCCCCCCCTCAGCAGCTCCGTGAGTGGTACGCTGCACGCCAGCGGGGTGGGGGTACTGGTCCGTGCACCTACGTCCTACGCACCGGCGACCGCGCGGGTGACCAGTGCAGGGGTGCGCACTCCACCCAGCGCTGCTTTGGCCGCCTGACGGACGCTTGGCGTCACCAGTTCCCTGAGGCCACTGAGATCCCCCGCTGGGGTGAGCTGTCTAGGGCGGGTGTCGCTGTCTTTGACCTTGACTTTGATGCTATTCTTGCTGCCATGTATACTGCGACTATTAGTGATGAGGGTGACTGTTACCGGTGTTTTCCGCCCGACCCGGGCATTGAGACTGCTGCTCTAGGTACTGGTGAGGCTGCTGCTCTAGGTGCTAGCGAGGCTGCTGCTCTAGGTGCGTCTGCTCCCTCAGGTGCTGGTGAGTCTGCTCTCTCAGGTTCTGCGTCGGCTTCGGCCTCCCACACCTTCACCCTTGACTCGGGGGCTTCTCGCTCCTTCTTTCGAGACCGCACCACACTCACGCCACTTGGCCGGCCAGTTGCGGTCTCTCTGGCAGACCCCTCTGGGGGTCCTGTCCTTGCTCACTTCTCCACTGTCCTCCCGTGTCCGGCGGCCCCCTCTGGCACCCTGTCTGGTCTTTACCTCCCCTCGTTCTCTACGAACTTGGTGAGTGGTGCTGACCTACAGGATGCGGGGGTTCACCAGTTCACTCCTGCGAGTCAGCGGGTGACCCACTGCACGGACGCTCGGACTGGCCGACACCTAGCCACGTTTACCCGTCGGCCGGGGTCGAGCCTGTACACCCTGACCACTGCGTCTCCTCCAGTCACTGCGTCTGGTCAGGTAGCTGCGTCGGGTCAGGTGTTTGCTGCAGCGTCCAGGTCTGGTCCTGAGTCTGCCCCCTGTTCGTGTTGCCTCCTGTCTCACGAGACTCTCCTCTGGCACCACCGCCTTGGTCACCCCTCCCTGCTTCGTCTCCGAGGCATGGCCTCCCGTGTCCTTGTCTCTGGTCTTCCCCGGTCCCTCCCTCCCCTTCCTCCGGGGCCTGGCCCTACCTGCGTCCCCTGTGTCGAGGGGCGGCAGCGGGCTGCCCCTCACTCCTCCCAGTTTCCTCCGACAGAGGCCCCGCTGCAGACGCTTCACATGGACGTGTGGGCCCCGGCCCGCGTCCGTGGACAGGGTCACGAGCGCTACTTCCTGCTGGTGGTTGACGACTACTCGCGTTACACCACAGTCTTCCCCTTGCGCAGCAAGGGTGATGTCACTGAGGTGTTGATCGACTGGATCCGCGCAGCTCGTCTCCAGCTCAGGCAGAGCTTCGGCTCGGACTTTCCTGTTCTGCGTCTGCACTCTGACAGAGGTGGAGAGTTCTCCTCTGGCCTTCTGCGAGCCTACTGTCGTGCACGAGGCATCCGCCAGACCTTCACGCTTCCGGACTCTCCACAGCAAAATGGGATTGCTGAGCGCCGCATTGGCATGGTCATGGACGTCGCCCGTACGTCCATGATGCATGCGGCTGCCCCCCATTTTCTGTGGCCGTTTGCAGTTCGGTACGCGGCGCATCAGATCAACCTTCACCCCAGGGTCTCCATGCCGGAGACCTCCCCAGCTTTGCTGTGGACGGGGAAGGTTGGCGATGCGTCTGCGTTCCGTGTCTGGGGATCTCGGGCGTTTGTCCGCGACTTGTCTGCGGACAAGCTGTCCCCTCGTGCTGCTCCTTGCGTCTTCCTTGGCTTCCCCCCTGACGCGCCAGGGTGGCAGTTCTACCACCCGACCTCTCGCCGTGTTCTGTCCTCCCAGGACGTCACGTTTGACGAGTCGGTCCCCTACTACCGCCTCTTCCCCTACCGCACTCCGTCCCTCCCCCCGCCACCGCTCTTCCTTGTGCCAGGTCCCCCCCCGGTAGACCCCCTCCCCCCTCAGGGTCCTGCCCCTTCAGGTGTGTCCCAGGTAGACGCAGTCGAGC